TACCCTAACTGTGAACCGCATGCTGCGAATCTTGTCTGTTCCACCCAGGGTGATTCCACATTTGTCTCACTCGAAACCCTAAACCCTAGACGCCACCACCCCTCTGAGATTCAATATTCCGTAATTTTCCCAATCTGTGCCAATATACCACAACTTGAATATTTGATATTGGAGGGGGGGTGGGGGGTTTAATCTTGGGGGAGGGGATTTTTTGAATCGCGCCCTGCGATCGTAGTCTTCAGTCGAAGGAAAATCACATCAGAAAGAGTTGTAGGTTGTCGGGTTTAGGGTTCAGAGGCTATGTTATATATGGGTTATATTGGAGGAATAGGAAAGAAAAAGGAAATTACTGTTTGGTGTTCAGGGGTTTAGGGTTCAGGGCTTCATCTCCATACTACGCCATGTAAGTCTTCTGATTTTGATAGGACTTGGCCTGTGCAGATGGCTGGGAGCCCGTGAAGAGCTCCGATGACTGTGCAGCAGGAGCACAGGTGCGCAAAAAGTCCGGTTTTTTTCGGCCACAGGCTTTGGGGTTTATAAAGTTTATTGGGAGTGTGGGTTCGTAGGGCCTTTAGGTTCAGGGATTTGGCTATGTGGATTTACGAGTTGGGGTTTCTGCGAAGGTTTCACTGATATTGCTCAGAGTTTGCTGATTGCCGGTTTATGCAAGTGGTACATGAGCACTGTCCGACAGGTTATTGCGATTCCCTCTTCGTAGACAGGTTCACCACAGCGTGTGGTTTAGAGCTTGATGAGCTGATAGGCCGGCTGCGAGGACTGAATAGGATCACAGGGTTTAAGCGTTTTGGGGTTCAAGGTTGGGCCGTATTTCATGCAGTTGTTGACATGTGGGGTTATGGTGCATGCGAAAGCCCTAAACTCTAAATCCTAAACCCTAAACCCTAACCCTACAGAGCATTCTTGGCTCCAGCCTTCTGCTTTGAAAGCCATGGAACCCGACACGTCCTCGCCCCATGACGCAGCTCTGCAAAATGATGAATTATATGCTTGTAATTTTATATTCTTGTTTAGGGGCTTAGGGTTTAGGGTTTAGGGGTTAGGGTTTAGGGTTCAGGGGGTTATATATTGGGATAATGGAAAAGAAAATGGAGACTACTATTTAGGGTTTAGGGATGAGGATATTGGGTTTACTGGTCAGGGTTTCGGCTTTAGGGTCCCAGGTTTTGGATTCGGATTTTGGGTCTGCAGTCTAGAGTTTGGGATTTGCAAAGCTCCAAACCCTAAGTTTAAAAGGAACCACACCCCCCCACCCCCAAACCCTCCTAAACTTTTTAGGAGTATCTCGGTCAATTCACCGCAGGGTTTAGAGTTAAGCTGAGTGCAGCCAAGGTACCAGTTCTGTCCGCGAAATTGGTTAAATCAAGAAAGCCACAGGCCACCAAGAGTTCTGTCCACTAAGCCCTAGACACTCAACCCTAAACTCATTCAGATCTCAGGGCTTAGGATTTAGGGTTTAAGATTCTTAGGGCATCAGGTTTAGGGTTTTGGCCGTAGGGTTCAGGATTCAAGGCTTAGGAATGTACCCTTTCGGCAAGTTTTTTTCATAGTAGTGTGGGGAGGATTAGGTTTCAAGCCCGAAGCCATACAGCCTACGTAAACCCGAATCCCCAAACCATAATCCCTCACCCCTGGGTTTAGGTTTAGGGTTTAGGTAATGCATGCTTGGTCTTGCAGGGTCTGAGGCCCACGGTTGGAAGGTGGAAGGTCACGACGAGAGTTGAGGAGGTACGGTTTATGGTTCAGGTTTGAGGGTTTGGGGCTTCGATGAAGAATCAGCCGCACGGAAAAAGGAACATGCAATGGTATCTAGGTTTGTAGAGGGCTTACCAGGGACTATATTATAATGTAGCAGCCTGTAGACTCACCTATGATCCTAGTTTAGCTATATGTACTCTGCCCCTTAAACCCTAAACCCTAAAACAATTCCTGCGCCCTGAAGCACGATTCTGGCGCAAGGTAACAGGGCTCGAAAACCTCAACTCTAAACCTTCAATCCTAAGCTTAGAAGTTTAGGCTTTAGAGGGTTTAGGGTCTGCCATATTCTAATTCATTTATCCCCCGTACAGTTGGGGTTGGGTTTAGGGTTGAAAGCTTAGGCACTAGATTCCAGCGGGCTCTGAAAAATCTGCGGGCTTGTCGTCCGTTCCAGGCCTCTCGAGATTGCAAGCACATTTACCCCCTAGGTTCGGTTTGCAGCGTGAAAGACATGGGAGTTTTCAGAAATAGGGGGACCCTTTATAGACTCTGAGTGTAGTATGGTCATTGTAGTCAACCCCCCCAATTTCGCATGTTCAAAGTTAATCAGGCTTTGGAATCGATGATCATCAGTTTGGAAATGCCAGTGCTCGCTGCCGACAGGACTTGAGGAAGGAGCCACAGCAGGAGATCAAGGATTGTGGCAGCAACGCAGAAGTGAGGGTAAAGAAGCAAGTTCAGGAGGTGGCGCCCGAGGTTGAAAAGGGGATGGCAGTAGCAGTCAGGAGCATCCCGCAAAATCAGTTTGAGCTACTGTATGTAAAGCCGACAGCCCTCCGTAGCCTCAATATATTCCTTGCATGGTGCGTTTTTGTGTCTGCCTGCCAGGTCAAAAAACAGGTAAAGCGAGAGGTGATACCCAAAGTCAACAACAAGGCAGGGGACAGAACCAAAGACGAGCTGCATGAGGACAACCGGGTGGGGATCAAGAAAGAAGTCAAGCAGGAGGTGAAATCCGAAGTGACAAAGGAGACGAAGCAGGAGATGATTGAGGAAGGCGCACCAAGCGTGAAAGCAGAGATGAAGAAGGAGTCGAAGGTGCAGGTGAAGATGGAGGCCTAATCGATTGTGCACTTGAAAGTAGCTACCGGGAGCTATGGCGATTTGCCCAGGGTTTGGCAGCAGACACCTTCGCTAGCCCATTGTTCATAGGGGTTTCAGTTTCCGGAGATTCCGAGTGTAGGTACCTCAGCAGTGATATTTTCACGAGGTAGCGTACCCTATGCTTGGGCTGCGAATGACGGCGCTTTCGCGGCGATATTGGAGGTTACAGCCCTACTTCGTGTCCTTTGTTTGGCTTTGCAGAGGTTACCTCAGTACAAGTTCGCCTCACACGTGAATAATTTCAAGTCTCACCAGCCTTCAAGTAGACCCGACTCCACGAACAACAGGCCCAAACCTCTCGCGTCCCGCAAGCCTAATGCAATCTCAGGACTTAGGGCTTAGGGATGTTTAGGGTTTAGGGTTGCCCCAAACCCTAAACCGCAATCCCGGGACTGTAGCAAAACATACTCGTGGTTAGTATCCAATGCTGTAATAGTAGTCCCTCTATAATCCGTTGTAAACATACCGTTTTCAGGTTCAGGGTTTAGGGTTTTCTGTTGAGCATCACCAACCCAAAGTGTATTTCAGCCCCCGACCCCAAAACTAAGAACCACGGCTGATGGAGAACACCCTGCATGACCGTCTATACCAAAACCCATGGAACGATGGTATTGTAGTGTGTTTGGTAGTTGTTCAAAGTACTTGTCCCCAAAATGGCCATAAGGTGGGTTCCCCTGTTGGTTTGGATGGGGAGATATAGGGTTTAGGGTTTAGATTTTAGGGTTTAGAGCTTTGCGGTTCCAATGAAGTCCTCTCCCAGCAGAAAATTGGAGACTCAGAAGAGTGAGACTGACACTCGTGGGTTCTTCATTCTCGCGAACTTGGAACCCCAAACCCTGATCCTACTCCGTAAGCCCTAGACGCTAATCCCTAAACCCTAGACCCTAGCCGCTAACGCCTATAAGCGCCATAAGCTTTAAATCCTCATATGGCAATTCTGAAGCCCAAATCTCCATGAGGCAGGCTTTCACAACTTGAGTGCTGTCGCCGCGATACTTCCGCCTCTTGGAGCATTATCCATCTGAGGTTTTACCACAAAAAGTTTCGGTTTTAGGGTTAGGGTTCAGGGCTCAGGTTTAACGTTAAGGTTTAGAGCTACGGCTAAGAGTTCAGCCCCTGGAAAGCATTCAATGATTGGATGGGTTCCTCCTTGCCCAATCAGGGTCCGAACTCTCACAACCCATGGCCTCCCTCCGTACCTGAGATACACGAAGCCCTAAATCCTAAACCTGCTTAATCTTAATTTAGGGTTTAGAGCTTAGGGTTTAGGGCTTCGGATTTGAGCCCAGCAGTGGGGTTTGGGCGTAAGCAGGGAAGACCGATATGGGGGTTTCCCAAAATAGGGGTATCCCATTTGGGGGTCCCTATAATAAGGGCTATAATATTTTAGGGTCTATATTTGGGTCCCCTTATGTTGGGAAACTACCATATTCAGGTGTTTAGAGTTAAGGGATTTAAGCTCCGGCTTTAGGGCCCTGCACCACTTACTTAGCCAATACAAGAAGTTTTATAACTTTTAGGGCTTCTTTATTTGGTCTCTATAATAAAGTTTGAACCTTTTGGGCCTGGTCATTGGGGAACAGAGCCCAGGTCTGGAGTAAAGCGCGAGAACCCAGGAATAGGAAGGGCCGCTGTAAAGCGAGAAGACCTCAGCGAGGGTCATGGCAGCTTTCCTTGAAATACTTGTTTTACGTGGTCAGGGTTTAGGCTTGTAGCGGTTCACAGTTTAGCTTCTTAGAGGGGTAATGCTGAGGGTATTAGGGATGTAGGTTTTCAGGGTCATAGGGGTTTTTGGTTTAGGGTGTAGGGTGTGAATACAAAAGAATACAAAGATACGTAGGTTTTTTCTTGCTTGCTTGGCTTCTCGAAATGGTGGCTCCCTTCTGCAAGTCTCGTGAAGAGTTTCCATTTTTGGGACACCTCGTCTAGGGTTTGTGGAGTATCTGCAGAAGCACGCAAGGGTTAAATGGCGCATGTTATCTGCAGATGCTACAATGTAGAAACCTGAGTAAACCCAAAATCTTTTTTCTACTCCTCAATGCAAGCCACAAACTGTACTCTAATTGCTGAGTGCCCACATTAGCCAGATGCCATCGAGCTTCGTGCAGAGTGAAGCCGAGGCACGAGCAAGCGACGACGCATGAGCCAGAAGGGGCCGGACTTGTTAGTTCCGTCCTTTGAGTCGCAGCTGCCAGTGTGGGCGGAGAAATGCCTAGCATTTCAGATCTCTGGCAAAACGTGGCTCCCAACCAAGCCCTGCTGTCCGGCAAGCTTGTTTGTCGGCCTCGGGAGGGCTCCGTGGCAAGAGAGCGAGGAGGTGCACCCAAAGCCGTGCGCGCAGCGTCTAGGCAAAGCTCAGCTCCGTGAGTTCCGAGCCTTCTTCCGCGAGCAGCCGCACCATGCGCTCTTCAAGAGCATTGCCGGTCCGCAAGAGAAGGCCTCCAGGCCCAAACCTCTGAGCTCCAAGCCCCCTCTCGGAAGGCCAGCTGATGGCTCGAGATGGGAGTGTTACAAGATGTGGCCCTGGATGCGTGACCTTCCCACAAGGCTGTGGATGGGCAATGGCTGGATCATGGAAGAGGATGGCATGCGTAAGCTGGAGCCCTCCGAGCCCGGGGGCGCCATGCCAGGCGTCCAGATCTTCGAGTCCGTAGGCACCGCCGTGGACGAGTCCCGGCAGGACGGCCCTGAGGTGCACGCAGCCGAGCCAGGCCAGGCCACCACCACCAGGTTCCGGGGCCTGGAGCGCCAGAGTGGTGTTCCAGGCATAAGCTGGAACAGGCAGATGGCATGTTGGAGGGTATCAGTGCAGGAAGCTGGCAAGCAAAAACGTATCCAATTCTTCATCGCTCCGTTCCTGAAGAAAGGCCTCAGTGAGGACGAGGCCGTGGAGGCCGCGCTGCGCGAAGCCAAAGCCCACCGTGAGGAGCTGGTGCGGAAGGGCGTGCTCCAGCCACCGAAGACCAAGGCCGTGAACCCAGAGCAGGGGAAGCCCTCAACCGTGAGGGGAGCGTATTTTGATAAGGATGCTCAGAAGTGGCGGGTGAAATTGGTTGACCCCACCACAAAGAAGCGGCACCAAACCTGCTTCTTCGCTACTCAGGAGGAGGCCGAGTCCAAGGCCCGGGAGCTTGCCAAGGAGCTGGGCATCAAGGAGGTGGAGGGCAAGGTGATCCCGGTGAAGCATCTCTCAGAGCTGAAGCACTTCGAGCCGCTGGGCCCCCAGCCGGGGGTGTGGTGGAGCCTCGGCGAGCAGTGCTGGCATGCCAGGTGCACTGTTGCAGGCAAGCACAGGCACTTGCGGTGCAGGCCCAAGGACTTCTCGGAGAAGGAGGTGGAGAAGGCCTGGAAGCAGGCAGTGGCCTGGCGCAAACAGCAGGAGAAGGAGAGGGACCATGCAAAGAAGAGCTGAGGAGGGCTGCGAAGAATTGACTTCATGTGATAGAGGGTGGTAAGTTGGGAGGATGCTCAATGACTTGCAGGACAAGCTACAAAGAGACAGTCAGCAGAAATCTAGGACCAGCCCTTTGCCAGGTAGGAAAACGCTCGCGTTAAAACCAGGTTAACTGTTATAATCTATATTCCTTATAGTTGCTAGTTCTAGACAACTCTAAACGGGAACCCCAAACCCTAGACCCTAGACCCAAGACCCTAAGCCTTAAACCCTACAGGCCCTAAATCCTACCTAGCCCCTTTATGAAGCTTTCATGCCAAAGCCCTCTCAACCTGTCCACCTGGTGGACGCGGTTGTTCTCAAAATAAGAGGCCCTTTCAAACCCCAGGGCTATGTAGGGTTCAGGGATTATAGCGGGATTCTAGAGACCCAGGGACATACTGGGATTATACGGGGCTCGTATCTGGGATAAGAGAGGGATTTTTTTGAGAAACTTCCGCAAATTCCATTCTACAGAGAAGCGACCAAAAACACAAGTTTCACCTTGGATCTCAAATCACGTGGCGAGGGCCAAAAGGAGCTGCTACAATGTAGGGCGGTTCAAGAGTACGAATCTGATGGGTCCTTTAAGCCAGGTATGGTGGATTTATGGGGTGTAGGGCTTGGCAGAAGAAAAGCAAGAAGCTGCTACTGATAAGTGGATACTACGGCCGATGTTGAAATATCCTGCAGAGCGCGTTGGCCAGAGGCAAACCCTAAACCTTAAACCGCCGGAGGACTCTCTAAAGGGGGTTATGTATAGGGGAGTATATCGGGGAGTAGTACAATGGTTCTTACGGGGGATAGTAAGAGTTTAGACAATAGCTCACATGGAGCCCCGCAGAAAGGCGCCTGCAAAGATGACTTCTCTTCTAAGAAGGCTCGTAATAATGCGAGCTATTGTCAAAATATGGGTGCCAAGATTAAGAGTGGATGTAGAGATCCTTCTGGTAGGTTCATATGGTCCAGAATATATTCCCTGTTAAGAATGCCATGAATGATGTGGGGAATATTTAATTACTGTAGTTCATATGCTATACCATAACCCTCAACCTTAAACCTTAACCGCAGATGACTTCTGCTCTAAAGGCTCATAGTGGGGACTGTGGGCTTTATATCCGATGGGTTCGGCTACATCATGCTGGTGTTCGACCTTCAGTTAGACCTGGACCCCAAAGTATGTAGAATAAAAGCCTTTTGGACAGTTTTAGGGATTTTAGGTCATTATTCTATTTATTTTTGCCGTTTTAAGGAAGCCTAAACCCTAAACCCAAAGCCCTAAACCCTAAACCCTGAACCCTAAGCCCTTCTTTGTGGGACCCTTGGGTTGCTAAGGGGCTTGGGAACCTACTTATACAGGGTTACAGTGTGAGTCGTAAAGGGGATGTGGTATATTGCCTGACTGTAGGGAACCTCAAAGTGAGCCCTGAACCTATAGTCCCCCTTAAGCAGATAGAATATGGGGTATATGGGGATCTCATTACAATATACCCAAAGCCATATTCTATCTGCTTGAGGGAGACTATATGGTTTAGAGATTAGGGTTGAGGGTTTAAGTTTAGGGTTAAGGGGTCTATATGGCTTTAACCCTATATGACGTGGTAGTTTCCATTTCTTGTCTATCCCTTGTTCCTATGGGCATCTTATTAAGGGGGAATATATACTTTGATTCTGAGCTTCAACCGAACTTTAGGGGCTTAAGAGAGTACCAATATGGTTGTCCTAGGCATAGGATACCCTGAACTCAAAACCCTAAACCCTAAATCTACATATTCCTGTATCACCCGTCCCAAATACCCTGATATCGAGCTTTTAACTCTAGATTGTCAAGCCGAGCCTGAACCTTCAACCCTTGAACTAACTGCCTATATTGTGGTCCTTTAGGGAGTAGGGTTTAGGCCCTAGATTCTTTGCAAATCACAGGACAAGCTACCTCAACCAGCCTCCAACATCGTATTTTTAAGTGTGTAGGCTAGGCGTTCGATGACCTTGAAATTTTCGAATCCTACGCCCCGAAATCTGAAGCCTGTGACTCCAAAGTTCTAGGCTCATGATTGTGAGGCTTGGGGTTTAGACCCTAAACCCTAAACCGTAACCCTGTATATCATTATATCTCTCTATACCTCTTTGATCTTTATATACCCTTCTATAACGCCATATAGCCCCAAATACCCCTGCATCCCCTTTAGAGGGACGCATGCGTGCTCCTAAACCCTAAACCCTGAATCCCAACACCTAAACCCTATATGAATGGTTGTCCAAATTATGGTCCCTTTTTGGATCCCAACTATAATAGGGCCCCTAATATTTAGGGTACCCAAAAAGGGACCATAATTTTGACAACCACCCATAATATAATCCCTATTATACTATAGTAGTTTCCATTTTCTTTTCCATTATCCCCCATATAACCCCAATATAACCCTAATACTCTAAACCCCAACACCTAAACCCTATAGTCCTAAGCCCGAGCTGCTCAAATCGCAGGCCTTGGAGCCTGGACAGGGTTGAATCTCGGCGGTTTAGGGTTTAGTGTGTAGGGTTTAGCCCGTGCTGGGTTCATGGGTTTCAGGTTTAAGGGTTTAGGGGTCGATAGTTTAGGGTTTGGGGGCTTAGGGTTCAGGTTTAAGGGTTTAAGATTTAGGTTTAGGGGCTATGTAGGGTTTTGTGGGGATTGGTAGGGCCAGGGCTTGGGTTAAAACGGAGAATCACACACAGAAACCGTGATTGTAAACCCTAAACCCTAAACCCGAAGCCCTAAACCTTAAATATAGAGTTTCTACAGGGCATAGGTCTTGGGGTTTAGGATCTGAGGCTGAGGGTTTGAAGCATACGATTTGGGGTTAACATGTGCGATTTACGGCGTTTGGGTTAAATTATGGATGTTAAGGGTTTGGGTGTGGGGTTCAGGAGTGTTTGGGTTTAGAATTGTTTGGGTTTAATAGGGGTGTTGAGGGTTTAGTGTTTCGGGGTTTAGGGATGTAAGCCCTTCCAAGATGTTGGGCCACAAGGTTTGGGCTTTGAGTTTGGATTTTGTGGTATCTTCCCATACAGGATCGTTCAATCGGTTCGGGAGGGTGCATGCACTTTCCCCTGAAAGTGCTTAAGATCTTCACGAGATTCCCCTCGACTTGGTAGCAGCCTTGAAAGGCGAGCGTTGCAAAGCTGTCTACGGAGGAAGGGGTGTAGAAAGTGGGCCAGCATGAGATTGATCGGTTTTGTCAAAATGACCCTCCAAAGTCCGAACCCTCACTCATAAACTCCTAACAGTCCCCCTTAAAGGGATATATAGGGTCATATAGGGGACTATAGTAGGGTTATATAGGGATAATGGAAAAGAACATGGAAACTACTATAACGGGGGTTTAGGGTTTAAACTCCGAAAAGCACTAAGGCTACGGCGCGGCCTGGAAAGACCTCGTTAGAGAGGAGAGCACCTTGCTGACCATTTGGATAACGTCTGCTCGGAGGTCCAGTATTTGTAGAGTTTTCTGTTAGGGTTCATTTAGGTTAGGTACGGGAAAAGTGTATTGCATGCTTATCTTGGGGTTTGGGATTCAGAGCTTGGGATTGACGTCTGAAGCATTTGCAGCCTACTTAGTATCCGTAGTTTTCAGTCAAGTGTAACCAACGTAAGCACATGTGGGGACTTTCCTAAGTTCATTTTAATACAAGTGTATTTGGGTTCCCATTATAGTCCGGATCCCTTACATGAATTACCCCTTTTTTTGGAGAACGGTACTTCAGGTCAAGTCCCATGTAGGAAGATTTCATCACTGGGATATACACGCACTTCCCGCGCAATTTAAACCTACCTTGAACCTCGAGGCACCGCCCGGGGGATGCCGTCAAGTAGGCTTTCTTCTTTGATAGAATCCCTATATCCCTGTATTACCCCTACGTCGTCCCTCTCACCTCTTAACAGGGACCAAAATAATCCCCATATACGTCCTGTAAATCCCCGCGTCATGAAGGCTTTGCAAAAACTTCCCTAAGCCTGAAACTCTACATCTCCCACGTGCCTTACACTTACTGAAGTTTAGTAGGGAACAAGGTCTTTTATTATGTAAGGTGTAGGGTTTATGGTTAGTAGAGAATAAGGGAATATGTTATATAAGGATTATATGGTGGTTTCCCAAAAAGGGGAACCCCAATACAGACCCCAAAATACAATAGTCCTTATTATGGGGAGCCCTAAAAGGGTACCCATAATTTTGGGAAACCTCCATATAGGGATTTTATTCCCTTATTCCATACTAGCCCGCAGTAGGCAAACCCTAGCTCTCAAGTAAATACCAGCATCCCTAGAGCTTCCAGGAGTTTAGGGGGGGTTAGGGTTTAGGGTTTAAGGGTTTAGGGTCTAAGGGTTTAGGGTTTAGGGTTTAGGGTGTGGTGCTACGCAGACAGTGTAGACTTTGGAGTATGCAAAGTTTGAAGATCCCATGGCTATTGTCGAAGCCAGGGCCACGCGCAGATCAGCTCCCCGAGCCCTTAACAGTAAACCCAAGCACGGTGTAAACCCGCACACGTGTGTATATACAATTACATATGCGTGTATTTGCGTATTTGTGTGTGTGTGTGTGTTTGTAGGGTATTCCTAGATCGCAAACCCCAAATACAGCATCCTAGGCCCAAAGCCCTGAATCCTTAAATCCTAAACCCCAAACCCTAAACCCCTAAGTAGTAGTTTCAATTTTCCTTTCCATTACCCTTATATACAAGCCTATAAACGCCCAATAAACTTGCAAGTAGCCTTCTTAATGATTATCCTTAAACAAGTTCTAAACACTAAGCCCTAAACCCCCACCCTTACATCTTAACCCCTGCAAACCCTAACCCCTGATACCGCAACACCCAAACCCCTGACACCCTAAATCCTACACTCCTATATCCTCACCTCGAATGACCACTAAACCCTCACACCCTTGCAAATCCCTAAAACCTTCTAAATCTCATAAACACACCTAGGCCATGCACAT